TGATAATATGCAAATACACATTTCCATCCTGGGCCAAGCTGAGGATGTGATAGAAGTCTTGTACAGGTTGTAAGAGAATGGATGGGGGGGAAATGAAATTAAATCTTAGCCAAATAAAAGTGCTGCTTGTCTAGAAACTATCTGACTCTTCATTTTTGACTCTGGGCAGAGTTGTATTCCCCATGAAGGAGCAGGTCTGCTACTTGGGGTTCCTCCTGGGTTAATGGCTACTGCTGGATATGAAGTTGGCAGTTATGGCTGGAGGTGGTTTTTGCCCAGCTTAGCTGGTGCATCAGTTGCAGCCCTTTCTGGTGTGAGAAGTTTTGGCAACAGTAACTCTTGCCCTGATCACCTCTAGGAAAGACTGCAGTGCAATTCACATGGGGCTGCCTTTGGATTCACAGGGAGTACATTTGATGCAAATTGCAATGGCCTGCCCACTAGCAGGTTAGAGCTGATAACAGCCTGATGTATCAACAGGCATTGCATTGGATCCCAATTGGTTTCCAAATACAATCCAAAGAACTGATTTTAATCTTTAAAGTCCTTTAGGGCTTGGCTTTTGGGTAACTGCAGGACTGGCTTTTTCAACCAGAACTGGCCCATCTTCTCACCTTGGGTAGGAGTATTTAGGATCCTCCTTTTACATGAGGGTTGTGGGCTATGGCTAGAAGAGTGTTTCTCTATAATTGCCCCATCCCTTTGAAACAGGGAAGGTCATTCAAACAGCTATTCTGCAGAGCATTCGATTTAAAAGATTGTTGGTATTCATCAATGGGTTGGGTTGTGATTTATTGCTTTTGTGTGTTTTTATGTATCTATTGCTTTAATGTGATATTACTTCTAAACTGCTAGGAGCCATTTCAGAATGCTTCAGTATATAAAAGCCATCAATAAATAATTAATTGTTTAACTGATATAAACATAAGTAAGAGTAGTTTTCTTTAGTAGATAAGAAATAAATGCTTTTCTGCCAGCCTTTTCTCTCTTTTTTTGGTTCTTTTTAATTTTGCATATAATAAAAATAATTTAATTTAATTTAATTTAATTTAATGCATGCCACTGTTCTTAAATTATCCTTCTTTCACCTCTGCATATTTTTTCTGTGTGCATTGGATCTATTTCTGAAAATGCAGTACAGATCATATTTCACTGTTCAAATAACTATTAAAGTTAAGCTTTTTGACCAACTTTGTTTAGAACTGTATCAGGGACTTGATTTTCCATGTCAAACTTTTGCAGAACTTTTTATAACTGAAACTGGTCATGTTTCTGTTATTCTGTATCCTTTTAGAAACAAAAGTGCCAGTAAACAACAGCCAAAAAGCTTATTGGAAAAGCTGCGCTGGGTAACTCTAGGTTACCATTATAACTGGAATACAAAGGTATGCAAGGGGCAACAGAACCTCCTCAATGATGTGATAGCAAATATTTGATTTTATTTTTCCTATGGGTAGGAAATAAATTCAGTGTAAATGTCTAATTTTAGCACGAAGAATAACAATTAGACACCAGGGTTTTAAAGCCAAAATATTCTAATCAGAATGTAAACTTGAACTGGAGAGAAAACATTCTTTATCAGCCAGCTGCAGACATGGTTAGCTTAATGAGCTTTGAGCTTTTTATTGTCTGGTCTTCATAAGAAACCAACCTATTTCCAATCTTCTAAGTACAGTATATTAAAGATTCTGGGCCCTGATAATATAAAGAGGGACCTTCTTATGGCATGTTATAAAAACTGCTAATTATATGTCTGTCTTCTCAAGTCATTCAACCATTGTTGTCCAGAAACAACAGCTATGAGGACAAGCTGTACATTAATTCAGTGACACCCTGATGATGCTTTGAAGTTGCTTTAAGTCACTAGTGAGAAAATTAGCTAAGTCACACTGCAAAACTGCTATTTCAGTGAAAAACATTTGACTAACCTCATTGTTAGCTACAACAGAGGAGAGAAATTGATTCAGACAATAGTGCTCCATATTTTAGATAGTTGTTATATTTGAGTTTGCAATAAAGAAATCTGATTATTTTCCTTCTATAACTTTGGCATTGTGGGCTTTCAGCCAAATAGTGGCCTAAGCTTCATTTTAGATTATTAAAAAGTAGCAACCTGAACTTTAATTTAGATTACTAAAAAACATATCTAACTGCAACTTCTTTTGCTCTTTTTACTAGAAATATTCAGCAGATCACTATACTCCCTTCCCATCTGATCTGGCTTTCTTGTCAAAGCAAGTGGCTAAAGCTTGTGGATTTCCCAGCTTTCAAGCAGAAGCAGGGATCCTGAACTACTATCACTTTGATTCATCTTTAGGAATTCATGTAGATGAGTCTGAACTGGACTTTTCTCCGCCTCTTTTATCATTCAGGTAAGCAGTGCAAATGTTTTTATATAGCAATATATATTTGACACATCTTGATTTAAAATTTTAGAAGTCAGAATTCTTCTAGCATTTTATTTATTTCATTTTTATCTTGATCTTTCTTTTCCTCAGTGGTATACTTTATTTTTCTCACATAATTTTATGAGATACCTTGGTGAACTCTACCACTCAACCTATCTGTTCTCTAGAGGTCTCCAAGAACTGGTGTGCACATTTGAAATTTTGAGGGCATATTGCTGTGGAGGTTTAATTCATATGTTCATTTTTATGCCTTAGAAATAGATAATTTATGTTAGCTTAAGTATTAAGGTGCATGTAATTTGGTCCTATGACCCTGGAATGGAGATAGATAACAGAAACCAGACAGCTGTCCTCCTTTCAGTGTATACGTGGAAGATATGAAAGGATATACAATCAGCAATGCTATTTACACTGTTGTTATTTACAGTATTGTAAATGCTGATATTATATAAAAGAATAGAATCCTACTACTGTAATTTGAAAAATAACAGGGAGGTCATTCCAATAGTTTATGAAAAGCATTCTGGTGTAAGGATTGGTTTGTAATTTGCAGCATTTCTTTTATCTTTCTTTAACAAATCAAATGTATGTAAATCTGTAGCTTTGCTTTGCTCACAGTTCTTCTGCAGTTCTTTAGTGAGGAGCCTAGTGATCACTAGTTTGTGCGTGCCAGTAAAAGTGTACTTGGTTGCATCTATCTCCGATTGCTGTGGTTTGTTATTTAAAGTGAGCATTTTTCTCACAACATTGAAGATACGCTTGCAAAATTACTTTGCCTTTGGCTGTTATATAGGCATAACAATCATAAAAAAAAAAATCCATGCTAAGATACTCTGCTTACTTTAACCTATATTTGATTTTGTTTTTCTAGGTAGCCTAGCCTATTGCCAATATGCAGCCACCCATCCCTCTTTTTTATCCTAAGCTATCACTTAATGCTAGGAAATTGTTTCCTTGCCTACCAACTAGCACAGATTGCATTCCTTTTATTTCCACTTGGTGGTTGGGAAAGAGAACAGCATTCAAATGCTCCAATGAACTTTTGAGTATATACAGATACTTTTCTGTGTGAGCCTGTTCAAGTCTGACATGTTGCAAATGTCAACTTTATCAGATTGGATTTCATAATAATGGAAGGCATTATGAGTAGATTCTAAACACTCACAGTATTAATAACAAATAAGTTTCTCCTAAAACACAAGTGAGCTAATGTATACAAATATAAACAAATAAATTAGAGCGCAACATAAGTTTATTTATTTATTTAACAAAATTCCTAACCTGCCTCTATTCTGGCAAACTCTGGGCAGCAAACAGCAGAAAAAGGATAAAAATTACATAGCAAATTAAACCAGTTGAAACTCTTACAATGAATTGTTTGAATTTGCTTGTTTTAACGTAATTATAATTACGTTAGCCTATGATGAAGGCTTGATAGATGTAATATTTTTTTAATAATACTTATCTCCTTTCCTGCCAAGTAAAATGTTACTTCTGTTAAACTATAGAGAATGTAGACATTTATTGCTTCCCAAGCTTGGCATGGAGAAGTATGGTCTAGTTAAATATTTGAGGAAAAACTGAACCTGCTTGAAGTATGAAATAAATGAATGAGATACTGAACTGATATTAATATGTTACAAGGTGATGGTTACATTTATTTCATAGATAACAAGGCTTGATTGTGTACATTGTACAAGTTCATTACTTTGCTTTAGCTGTTAGCTAATTCTGAGGCCTATTAAATCGGAAACTTTTCATGATTGCCCCCATTCCATGATACTAGAGGCACAGGTGGCTTTAGTGGCAAGGAAGAGCTTTGCCCAACTGCAGGTGGTATAGCAGTTCCTGAAACAAAAAAGTCTAGCTTCAGTGATCCATAATAATTTCAAAATTGGATTACAGCAACATGCTGTACATGGAGCTGTGATTAAAGTCTTGTTAAGTAGAGTGGCTAAATGAGATTACATAATATTGTAAGAGAATTTTTTTAGGGGTAGGTTTAAGCCAGAGACCAGGTCACAATTACATCAAAGCATAAATTGGTTTATTAACAGGATCAGTACTGGAAGTGGAAGAGAAAAAAAGTCTAAAGAACGGTAAAGTTACAAGCCTTCTTTTTACACTTAAGTAAATTATCTTTTAGAGAGGTTACTATAAAATGTACAGATAGACATTAGTCATGTGATAAAACCTAGCAGTTGGTGTGATTGCCAAGGTTAACAGTACTGATTGGGTTAGTTTATACGCATATTGGAAATTATAACAGTTGGAGTGGATGAAGTAAAATCTCCCTTAACAATGGATCCTTTGGATTAAACAAAGAAATATAAGAACTGGTGTCTAAAGTTGTTATTTTAGTTTAGCCTCTATCTGAAAACCTTAAATACGCTTATCTTGTTAGTGCCTTGTAACCTTTGAAGTGGCTGAGAATTCCTAGTGCCTGATTGCTTTTCAGCTGAGTTTGCAATACTGTACTGTTAGGGTCCTAAGTGTTTTTTGCAGGGGGAGGGGTGCCCAAGTCAGTGTTGACTCCTGGCAACCGCCTGAGCTAGTCCCTGCAGTTTTCTTGGCAAGATTTCGAAGTGGTTTGCAATTGCCTCCTTCCAAGGGTGAGAGGGAGTGACTGGCCCAAGGTCACCCAGCTGGCTTTGTGCCTAAGGTAGGACTAGAACTCACGGTTTCCCAGTTTCTAGCCTGATGCCTTAACCACTACACCAAACTGGCTCTCCAGAGTCCTAAGTTGGACTCCTGAAATTTTCTCCTACAATACCCACTTTTAAATTGCTGCACTGATTGCTTGTCATCTACTAGGCCCAAATCCAAGCTATTGGCACTAGTTTGTAAACCTCTAAATCACTTACTGCCTAAGTTCTTAAAAGATTATAACCTCATACTATCCAACATGTATGTTAAGATCACTTGGGCAGACTTTGCTCATGAGCCCATCTGTGGGTTAAGTAAGCACTAAGTAAGTAAGCACTAAGAAAATGGCCAGTTACGGAACACTGTCCAGGGGAAGGATGACTGGTTCCCACTCTGTCTAGATAGCTTAAAATGCTTGCTCATCTGAAATTTTACAAGGTAAAAACTACTGTTGGGCTAAACTTTCTTTTAATTAATTGTTCAGCTGAATCCGCATTTTCATTATTTTTCTTTAATAAATCTTTTCAATGAATTGTTCCGCGTTTTCGGTGTACTACTGTATTTAGAATATAATAATAATGTAATTTGTAAATATCTCTATAGGCCCACATGGGGTCCATAAGCTTTATAAAAATAATATTAGCTTAGCTTTCTATATGCAATGTTTCTTTTTTTTTTTTTTAAAGGACCCTTTAAAAAATGAGTTGGTAAATGCCAAGGAGGTTATCTGTGAGTGCAGTGGAAAGTCTAACAGGCCCTGGGAACAGTAGAAAGGAGCAAAGCTATTATAGGAGGGAATTGGAGTGTAGCAGAAAAAATTTCATCATCCAGGGGAGGGGGAAATGTGAGAAAGAGACACATAATAACTGCCTTAATAATGCTAAAAATAAGTTGATCTGGAGAACTGCTTTGACAGGCTTTCAAGATTCTGATATGTTTACCCTACTGGCAATAAAATGGTTCTTGTTCCTGAGTTTGCCAATCTCACAGGGCTTGACAATGAGTACCACACCATATTGATCTTTCCTCAGTGAACATTTTGCATCTGAGTCTGTTGGTTGCTTTCTTGTCTATATTATGTGGATAAATGATACATGGAGGCCACAAAACAGAACAAAGTATTTGTGAATGGAGCAGGAGAATGAAATGTCTTAATAATTTCTTACACTTAATACTTATCCCTTTTTTCCAGGAAAAACCTGTTTCTCTGTTGTGATAGAATAAGAATGTGACTTTTATGAGATTTCAAAAGAGCCTCCTAAGTGGCTACTTTAAACTACTGCCTCTTGGCTGCGTATCATAAATAATTTTTAAAATGCACTTGGACAAACACTACCTAGGACTGATTTACAAGTTCATACATTGTAAGGTAGTTTGTTTGGTTTTGACTTGGCTTGTTATGTGAACCCAGTGAACCCTTATACTACCTTGGCCCTAAGAATAACTGTGATGCTCCCATAGAGATCAGTACATGTTTATTTTAAGGATAGTACAAGTTTCAAAGTGTATTGCTTTGTAATCTCCTAAGCAAATTAATACCATAAAAACAAGAACCAATATGATATAAGTCTGGTGGATTCACATGTGCTAAATTATAATGAAGCTTCAGAGTAGCTTACTAAAAGGGAAATATCCTTTAAAAAGTATAAAGCCTTCCCAACTATGTAGCTATGGTTTTACTAACTTGTCTTCTTTCTTTTACTCTATTAACTTTCTAGTTTTGGACAGTCATCCATATTTCTGCTGGGAGGACTGAAACGAGATGATACCCCTGTGGCCCTGTTCACACATAGCGGAGATATTATGATAATGTCTGGTTTCAGCCGCCTGCTGTACCACGCAGTTCCCAGGATCCTTCCCAATCTAGAGGGGAAGCCTTTACCATCATGCTTCGAGCTACCTCTCCCTGCTGACCTTCCTGCGGACTCTGTGATTGAGCCCTGCTCCCATGACGACTGGCAAACATGTGGCAGATATTTGGAAGCATCCCGTATTAATATGACTGTGAGACAGGTGCTACCTGAAGGTCAGAGCTTCTTGACTGAAACTAGGACAGAGAGAGAACAGGATGCTTTCTCCACAGACTGTCATGAAGAGTATAGAGAAACCAAAAAGCACAAGCCTGTTACCAACAAATGAGCCCATCTTCTTCTTTTCACCATGACTTCAAACACATGAAACACCAACACGTAGCAGAAGAGATAAGATATGCCACTGAAAGAAAATTGATTAACTGTGGAAATAAGTATGTATATGAACTTCACAGCCAAATATAGGGCTCGGGGAGGAAATTCAGTGCTGTTTCTATCTCTTTAGGGTCACATAGCAAACCTATGTGGGTTACTTTGATGCTTTGCCTAACATTGGCTGATTAAAGAAATTAGAATCATCCTCAGTCTATAACTTTCTTGTTATTTGCTTTTGAGATATCAGAGGGGAGGCATCAGTTAAAAGAGCAGATTTGGGTAATCCAGAGTGTGCCGAATGGCCTGCCCAAGGGCTTTCATGTGCCAAGTTCAGTAGCTTAGCTCTGAACTTCTCTGGCACAGTTATCTGCTGCCTCACCTCCTGTGTGTTTGGGTCTCTTCTGAGCCTCACTAATACTCTTTACACAAAGATTAGTTTGTCTTTGCAGACTGTGTCACTAGGCAAGACTTCCTAGCCTTGAAAAGACTGATCTGCTTTTTGCAGAGGACCTATGTCTGCCTACCAATCCTCACCACAGGAAATTCATCTCCCTTTGGCTGTGATGTGTATGGCTGTTTCTCAGCTGCTTTCTTTCGCTGTCTAGTTTTCATTAACAGTGTCTGAATGAGGGGAGGGAGGGCTCAGCTGAGCTGCTTGGAGAGGCTGCTAGCATGCCAGCTAGCACTCTCCTGGTGATGGCATGTCCATCCCCAACACCATATCATGTGGAAGACCCTTGACCACCTCCAGCATGGCAGTGATTTTCAGGCCCTCCACCCACATCACCTGTTCTATAATGGGGACTTTCCTTGTGTCCCCAAAGGTGCTTTAGGTTGTTTCCTTCCTTTTTGGAACAACCTTCCCCACCAAAGACTCTCTAATTAGGGACATGTGGCTCCCTGTGTCAACTAGAGCCTGCATATTGGTGTTCTTGAGCCTGACTGGGACCATGGTCAGGACTGTGCAGTTCCCTGAGGCCTTGCATAACTAGCTGTTTGCACCCTTTTCTTCTGGCACATTTTCTTCCATGACCAGACTTTCCACATTTGAAACATTTAATGGGAGTTGCCTTACTTAAGATCCCTTTGTCTCCCTTAGGGGCATCCCTTGGTACTTCTCCTTTTTGAGAAGGAAATGCTGGCTTCTCTTTTTGGGAGGAGGGGGTTTGCTTTTCCCCCAGCCTTCCTTTTATCTGGTCAACAGCTGTTACTCCTCTGCCAGCCTTCTCTGCTTTTTGGGCTGCTGCATAGCCCTCAGCTAGTCTTATTGCCTCCTCCCCTGCTGCTCCTGTATCCAGAAATGGCCTAGATAGAATCTGTATGAACTGTTCTAACACTAACAGCTATAATAGGTTACACACAGTTTTCCTTGAGACATCCACTTGTAACCAATTAGCAGCTGCCTCCTCCAGGATTGCCCATGATTCATGAAAGCCTTGCTCTGCATTGAACACATGGTCCTGGAACTTCCACTTATAGGTCTGAGGAGCTATCTCATAAGGTTGGAGAATTACCTCCTTCACAGCATTGATTTCCTCCCTGAGCTGGCAATTGCATGAACATTCAAAGGGCTTTCCCAGCCAAACATGGAGGTAATCTAGCCATCCAGCCTTTTTTTGGCCAGCCCTGTGTTCTAGCCACCCTCTCAAACATAGCTAGATAGTCCTGCAGATCTTCCTCCATCCCTCTCCTATGTAATTTCACAAGCACAGGTGTGGCCTCCACCTCCACATCCACCACCTTAGATTCCTCCCATTCTAGCTCTCTCCCATCTGGTCTACCTCCTTCCTTTTTCAGCTGCACAAGCTGCTTGAAAGTTCTCTCCTGGTTTTCTAGTTTTCTTTCCCATTTTGTTTGCTCCTGCTCAAACTCCGCCCACCCCAGAATCACTCATGAGTCTCTCCCATTGTTGCCTCTCCTTCCTTTGTGCTGCTACCATGGCATGCATAGCATCTACCATCTCCTGCATGCTTTGCATTTGATCTTCTATCTCCCCTCCCCCCCAAGAGACTACGAAATATCTTAGCAAACTTCTGGTAACCAGTCTATTTGGATTCAGTAGCTTGGCAAACACCTCCTCCCTCTCACTCACCCACTGCCTGTGTACCATAACTGCCACCTTAATACACAAACAGTCCCACTGTTGGGTGCCATTTATATGGCACAGTGTGTCAGCATTCGTTTTTTAACTGAATGTGTATTGTTTTGCAAGTGTGGCAAGTGACACAGAAAAACAAGACAGTGGAGGCTTTTATGCATTTTACCATATACAGTGATGTGATTTACAGCAGGCATTTACAACAAGTATATATACCACAATACTGGTGTTCACCCAGGGTCGGGTTTCCTTTCTCCTAAGTCTCCCTCCCAGAGATTATCCCCCTCGATCTCTCCTGCTTCCTCCCCCTTTCTCTCTGTCTTCTTCCCTCTTTTCTAGGCTTGTGAGTGAGAGAGTGAAAAGAAACAAATGGGCTAAAATTTTACTGTAGTGTGCTCAGCGTGGCTTGACCTCCTCCTGGAACCGCTCAGCTGAACACTTACTACTTCTCCATTGGGGGGGAGAACCTCTCTCAGGGTCTTCTGCTCAGTCCTGCCCCAGAGACCAGGGCTTCTCCACTGACAGCCAATCTTCTTCCCCTCCTGGGTCTTGGGGAAGCCACCACCTGCAGCCAGCCAGGTCCCTCCTTCCTGTTCCTGCGCCTTGGGTGGAGCTCTTTGGGTCTTCCCTTCTTCCAGGGGAGCCACCTGTGGCTTCTTCTCCCTTCCTGACCAGGAACCAACAACTGCTCTGCACACTTAACTTCTCTCCCCAACTTTTCTCTCTGGCCACCCCATTGACTCCATTTTGTACAGATTTTTCTTTCCTCCTGTCATTCCAATGTTTAGGTTAGACTGGCAGCATGCCCCCAGCAACTGAGGAGGAAGGTGTCCCCCATGGCTGTAGTCCCCAACACCTATATCCCCGGCTGGACCAATGGGACTCTTGTCTTGACGTCTCACCATAACAGCCCTGGCTAGCAGCCAGGTCAGCTCATCAGGCCTTGTGACAGCGCACCTGCCCTTCAAGGCCAGCATTGAGCTTCTTTTTCCCCCTTCCACTCACTCCAATGGCTGGCTCATGCCAGCAGAATAGCAGCCAGGCCAGGCCACTAAAACCCATATGCCACAGGCAGCCTATAAATTTAATAATAACCAAACCCCTTGAGGCACTTTGCTTACTGCATATGACTACATCGACTTCACTGAATACTGATTTACTCTGAATACTGCCACTCTGGAGTCATGCTGTGCTGACTAGAGAAATGCTATAAGCTTTGCAATATATTTATAATCTATTAACTGATATCAAGGATTCATTTTGTGAGCAGGATGGACTCTTTTATTTAAAATATCTTCCATTCTTGGAGCAAAATAATTAGGAATTGTCTGGTGATTTTTCTATTCAAGATGTCCTTTTCTTCTCCTTGTCTATGAATACTAAAACAGCCCTGTTCCATCAGCATCAGGCCATTTGGTTGCGTACATAATGCAATCTTTGCAGCCTGCCTCCTTTAGGAGGAGATTGGAGAGAATGACTTTACAAATGGGAACAATGTATTTGTAGAAGAAGCACCCAATAAGAAAATTAATCAGCGACTATCTCTGTTGCCCAAAAGGTAAATATATTGAAACAAATAAGGACAACAGTCTTCTGTGCCCATCTATTTTAGTATCCCGACTTCCCTATCTAGTTTTTAATGCAGTTTTAATTGCCAGAGTGCAATGCTCTGTCCCAGAGGTATTTTGTCGCACTTTTCCCATGAATAAGCTTACTCTATTTTAAATTAAAGATCTGTATCTAACTTGAAGAGCAGTTTCCATCACCACTTCCCTCTTTATCCTCCACCTTACTTTGCTGTATTGCTTAAGCTGCTTTGTGCAAAACTCTCACCTTTTTCTCCATTCTTTATTTAGCTATGCTATTTTGATATGCTTTGCAGAGAAGGAGGCATCTCCTCACCTCTTCAGGGTTACAATATAAGAAATCTGTGCCCAGCATTTTTGCAATGTTCAACCATGGTATGGATTTGGTTTTGTCTTTCATATCTCTCCCTCTGGGACTTGTATAGTTATTGATCCAGAAGAATTTTCACAGGAACTATTGATACTGTTTCCAAGTGTCAACTTGTTAACTGTTTGGACAGAGAAAGTTATTCCAGACAAATGTTGAACCATTTTTCTGTTTTTGTGGTTATAATTATTGTAATTGTTGAGTATTCTACTTTTACTATTTTTTTATTTTGCAGACATTTTACTGTATTTAAGTATGCTGTTGTGAGTGTAAATGATTTGGCAGCATACAAATTTGATAATAAACATCAGATTATATTAATTAGCATCTAAGACAACATTTTAACTTATACAAGGCAACTGAATTTTGTTCTCATATTGCAGTAGAGGCCTAATCCAGGTTAGCTAGTGTATGTAATTAGGAAGTGTTGCCTGAGATGGTTCCAATTACTCTGACATATTTCTTGGATTTATATTTGACATTTTCAGGTGAGCACTTAGGGTTTCACACATTGCACTAAGCCTTGATTTGATTTGATTTGATTTGATTTGATTTGATTTGATTTGGAGTGATATGTGAACTTAGGTATTGCAGTTTATTTATTTATAAAAAAATTAAACTGCCTCTATATTAAAAGACCCTAGGTACTGCACAGGGATTTATAAACCCTGCTTATTGTGGTCTTCATACTAAACCATGATTTAGTTCATGGATACAAAATGGGTAGTCTACCAGCAATCTTTTTTAATCATCAGAGTAGGTAGATCCTCAAAATTTAACCTGTTTTAAGCAGGAGCAGAGTTTTAAGGGACAGAATGGACATCTTAAGCCTTGCAGATACTTCAGACACCCATTTCAAACCCCTACACACACACACGCACACCCATACGCCAAAAGAATTCAGTCCCTCTTTGGGTCCTATTCCTTTTGGAGTACAACCCTTGAGCCAATAGAAGTACAGCACCCCTGGCTTAGTGTGATTATACTTACTACCTTAAGCTTCTTTCTGAGCAGATATGCTGAGGAATGTACTCAAAGTAAATTTGGTATATGCCAAAGTAAGTTTTTCCTGTAAAAAATGTACATAAGATACTATGTGGTATTTCTAGACAGAGGAGGATAGCTTACAGGAAGTCTATTTTAAAAGAAGCTTCTGCCAATCAGCTAGCCCTGGGACAGTTAAAAATGCAGTTTGGCCTCGTATTGTTCATCCTTATGATGGGGATTACTATAGTAAGTGGAACTGTTTTCTGTGATCAGTCTAATCTGTGTAATAGCAGTTTTTCCATACAATCCAGATTTAGGAAGATTCTCCTTGTGGTACATAAGGATCTGTTAGCTGATAGCACACTTGAATTCCCATTCATCATTGTAAACTCCATTAATATGTATTGATCACATTGTTGTAAACTTTGTTACCACTTATTTAATAAAACAGTCTGCAGCTTTGCAAAGCATTGTGATTTTGCACACACACACATTTGGAGACAACTGGGCATTATCTTGGATAGCCTTGCAAGCCTGGAAAAACTGGCTGCTTTAACCATTAAAAAAGGATGTCCTTTATCGACATTCTCATATACAGTGGGGCAAAAAAGTATTTAGTCAGCCACCAATTGTGCAAGTACTCCCACTTAAAAAGATGAGA